AAGCTAGTAACACACCTAAAGCAACATCGCTGCTTGAAATAAGTTCTGATGCAATGCTTACAAATCAACCAACAACAATTTCTACCTCTTTAGCAATTCATGTTTGTTGTTGCTATTCCATCTCCCCTATAACCCATGCATGTGTTTTCCAATTATGAATCTATCCTCATCAATATGATTGCTACAGAAACACTATTCCAAATAGCATCTGATGAGAATCACAAATAACTTAAGCATGCAGCGATTCACCAGATCGAGCTAATGAAAAATGGTAGCAATCTACTTCAAAAAAAATATAAAAATATCATCATTGTATTAATATTAACTCAGTACACAGCCATAACGGAACTTCTTAAATTGATGTTGTAGCATAACTGATGTCGTGCTCGAGTTGCATGCTACAAGAGAAGATAGCCTATACAAGAAGTCGATGCAATTTAGTTTCAATGCTGTTGCTTTTTGAAAATGCTGCAGCTCAATGCCACCAATGTCATTGCATAAACCTTCATCACCTTGGTGTAATGATTTGGTGTTTTAGTGTTTTGAAAAATTGCCTAATCAGTTGTAATATGCTTTTGATGTTTTATGCTTGGAAACAAAATTTGTTTGCTATCATATATATATATATATTGGTGTGTACATGTATCACCTATATTTTTTAATTTGGCACCATCCGTTTACATCATCACCTGCTGCATGTCAATAAATAAATATAGGTCTTCTTCGACTCTAAAATAATTTCAAATTATTTAGCACACTCTTGCCACGAAATCCACACACACGGGGCCTAATTATTTGATATAAATTGATGGTTTGTAATGTTCAGATTTCCACTCAGCATTTTTAAAATTCATGCACCAGAATGCCTGTGGAATAATCAGGAAGCACACCAATTTTACGAAAAAAATTACAATGTTAGATGGGTCGGACAAAAGCCTATAGCTATCTTATCAACAAGTCAGTTGTCTCTTTAACAGACTCACATATCAGAGAAATGAGAAACAAAATTAACCACACTTTCTTCTAACCAGGATAAAAAAAAAAAAAATCTACACATTCAACATTTATATCTACCAATATTCTCATTCAACATTTATATCATCCAAAAATTCCATAATACATAAGCTTAAAAAACATAAGACGTATGCAATGTATGCAATGTCTCAAAATTTCTTGCAAAAATCAATTTTCATATCAGGTTACCACACTTATCTATTCATAGAATTTACAAATGGACATCAGTATAAATAAACACCATGACCCTCTATCCAAATCACACAACATTTGGAAGCTTACATTCGACTTGTTCAGGCAAACTCTTCTCTCCAAGACCAAACACAAATAAGAATGGTAAGTTACTCTTCTAATCTTTTTATCATTTAAAAAAAAAAAAAACCTCTCATTCATGTTTTTTCAAACAATTATCGAAATAATGACCAAATATCTAATAATTGCATTACATTTGTTTGCATGGCAACAATGAAAAATTCCATCCGCTAGAAAACTTGCTTTCTCTGCTATTTTTAGATCTTTGTTTTGTAATAATAACAATACCTCAATCACTAAAAACAACGTCACATTGTCTGTCGCATAGGGTGGGTAAGCAACTCCAATAAAACTAAAATTAAGAAAGTTGTTTTTTCATGCTTTAAAAGTTATTTCAAATACATTTTGAGATTATAAATGGGTTTTCAAGAACCTCAAGATTGTTTAGCGGTGTTTTTTTTTATACATATATTTGAATAAAGAGTTAAAATATTAAGTTATTATCATTTTTTATGTTAAAAAAGTTTGAAAAAATTTTTTCTTTTGAATTAAAAAGTCTTGACGTTCCATATGGATTAAGACATTGAGAACTAAATTTTTTTTTCTAAATTTAAATTAAATATATAAAAAATGCCATAAATACATCAAATAAGGTATAGAAGAAAATCTAGAAAATGTTGTTTAATGGTATATTTTATCTATTGTCTTGGATTTGAAATTTTTTATAAGAAATTAAAATTACCAATTAACTTTTATATATATATATATATGTATGTTATTTTTGTTTCAGAAAAACATAGACATCAATTTTTTTTCATTGAATAACTTGACTTTACATGAAACGTTAGAAAAGTAAAATAGAATATGTGAATCAATTTTTTTTTAAATTAGAAATGCAATTAAAAAATGAAATATTTTTAGTAAATAAAAAAATAAATAAAGCGAGTGTTGTTATCTTAACAAAAATAATTTGATTTTGAAAATTTATCAGTTAAAAAATTTCAGTTTTTAAAAACAACATATGCTTTCACATTAAAAATATGTAGAAAAATAAATAAAAAATGTAATTTTTTAATTGGTCCCACAGCATAAGTCTAAACTAAATTAGAGGAAAGGAGAAGTTTAAGAAAATTTTCATTAATTACCATTTTCCATAGAAACCTAAAGCCAAATTGAAAAGATCAAAGCTAAATATAGATGTAGAAGTAGAAGATTGTACGTTGTTTGGCTAGCCAATAAACATGAACTTTTTATTTTTTATTTATTTAATATCATATAAAAATTTAGCACTTTCTTGTACAAAATGACAAAACTTAAACACAGGATGCAGTCCTTAATTAATGAAAGAGGTCTCTTCATGCCAAGTCAGCGACAGAAAGAGGACTTTTCGGACACAATATGGTGTCCAACAGGCCGTTCAAAAGAAGTCCCATGTTTTATGCACATGGATGCACCATTTAGCACTGCATAATGTCTGCATTAGAATTACTTGCCATACAAAACAACTAAAGAAGACAAGACAAGCCTCCCCTTCAGCGAAACGTCATTTTATCTCTCTAAATCCAATTTTTTGGTTTTGGTGTTAAGTGATTTCGATCATGCTCCTTTTTCTCTCTTTTCTTTTATTTTTATTTCTTTTCCGACGAGTTGTAAATCAGTCATCCACTTCCAAAATATTTTCACATGGATCCAGTTAAGGGCACTTGATGGTTTAAAATCTTGTTTCATCCTCAAAGTTGTCCTAGTTATTTGATTTCATCCTCCAACCTCGGTCAAAAGTTGGATTGAGTTTAACTTTACTTAAATCACTCCAAAAAAGTCAATGGAAATAGTTATCCTCGTATTTGTATATTGAGATGCTAGCTAGTTGTAGATGTAGTTATTCGAAGTCAAATTTCTCGGACAACTATTGTTCATATTCATTTGACCTGATCACACTTGCATTAAGAAATATTGAGACTCGTCATTCTTGAAAGGAAATGCTAATGTAATGATCAGAAAACTGAAACAAATTGAGGTTCTCTTTGCCAAGTTGCTCGGTAGGCACAGTTGCATCCAGCAATGAGAAGCAACCTATTTGTTAGGGACCATGAGATTCAAATTACACATCTTTGAAGTACTAACGTAATTGTAGATTCATTTAAAAAATCCAGTTGCAGTTTATTGTTCACTTACTTTTCATTTAGTTTTGTACACTAGGGATGAGTCCAATTACTTCGATATTGAACCTTTAAAAGCAACTAGTTTTATGAATTGAAGAATTACTACTCACAACCCTTGAGAATTGCTTGGAATGATAAGTAGTTAATTTGCTTTTCACATTATAATCTCATATTTAAATTAAAGAAAAAGCCATATAAATAAGAAGAAAATTTCTCATTAGTGTATTTAGTCCGAGTATGAATGATGTGTCTAAAACTCGATAATGAAAAAGCTTATCTTACATACGTGAAAACCTATCAAAAAACTACATTAGCATATATAAAAGATGTGTGAACATATATAAAAGATGTCCATATTAATAGAAAAATTATGGAAAGTTTTCATAATGGCATGTTTGAACATCGTCTGTACCTACTTCTATAATTTCAAGATTTGACTTCAATTTCTTCATCAATCAATAACAAATTTCCCGCGTTAGCTGTTGTTATAGCTAGGTAAAGTAAAGTAGCAACATGCTATTGTCAATTTGTTATTAAAGACTATAGCAATTCCTCATATGCTAGAACTCAAAAGAAGAAGAAGAAAAAAGAAAAAAGTAGTAGACTATAAGTCATCGTGGCACATGAAAATTAAGTAAATTAGTGGAACGAGGCAGCGCATGTCAACCATAAATTTTATAGTGTAGATATTAAGTTTTGTGCGGTTTTGATTTGTTTAGGAAATCAAGGAATCATATAATGCCACACGTAAATGCTTCATTAATTCCATTTTCTGTGATCATGTGTTGAGAAGCGTGTTCCATTGGCACCTTTCAACGCATTTGCCGCCGGGAAAGAAGATCCCTCTCACGTTCACCGGCGACCAAGCAATTAGCTAGCGGGGGTTACCATTTGTGGCAAATGGTTACTAGCCCTAGCCCAATAATACTCCTACCTAGCTAGTAGATGTATCCTAGGTTTTGCATGGTTTATGTTATAGGCATAGAAAAACCATCTTTATGGTATAATTTACAAAAAGATTGGAGGTTATTTAATTTTTCCCGATTCAAAAAATAACATAATTTTTTAGTGCGAGACACAACCAAAGTTTACTAATTGCAGCTGCATTGGCATAAATAGTTTCAAGTTCCAATGTCCATGCATGCTTTATATATCAGAAATAAATTTTTAATTTTTAATGGGACAAGTTCTTAGATGAATAGATCATAAGTAGATTAAGGGTTAGATTAGCCTAAGAATCTAGGGGCTCCATGACCATAAGATGCAGTGTCTTGAATTTGGAGTTCTATTCAAATTTCAAAGTTAAAAATCAGAGAGCCAGGCTTTCATAAATTCGAATTAGTCAAAATATAATTAATGGAATAACCCGAGAATCTAGAGTTCCATTACGAATGATTAATCATTCTAGCTACTTAATTGGTATAAGAAATTGGCGTGCCCTTACAAAGCTTTGAGGCAGCACTTTCCTTCCCTTATATTGTGGAATATTTTTATCACAAGCTTGCAGTTTAAAATACCCTCCACCTCCCTTACTTCACACTATTGTAGACACGTTCCCACCTTTCTGAGAGAATGGCTAGTACTTCTCTACTCAAGCTTGCAACCATTCTCTCCCTAGTCTTTTCCATCCTCCTAGCCTTGCACGCTCAAATAACCTTATCGTCCGATATAGAAGATGACGACGAAGAGTACGTTCTTGACACCCCACTAGCCAATTTCAGATCAAGAAGCCGGTTCCTGGCCAGTGTAATAAAGAAAGGTGCAGGATGCAACGCTGAGCGTTATAACATCTGTAATGGCGTTTCAGCCAACGGGGGCACGAGCCTACTGTACTGTTGCAAGAAACATTGCCGCAATGTTCTTAGTGACAAGAATAACTGTGGAAAATGTGGTAACAAGTGCAAGTTTGGAGAGTTTTGCTGCAATGGAAATTGTACAACTGTCTTTTACAATGTTAACAATTGTGGAAAGTGCAACAAGAAGTGTGCTCGGGGGGTTAGATGTCAGTATGGAACATGTGGGTATGTTTAGAAGTATTCATTGGTATAAATACAAGGATTTTTAAACCTTATACTTGGATTAAAAAATAAATGGCCTTTTGTTACTACTAAGAAGTAGCTTATATGGTTTGGCCTGTATTTTTGTTTTTACTTATTTCACAAAGGAATAGAGTGGATGTTTTGTAATTAAATTGAGTTTTTATTTCCCCAGTTGAGTATACAGAAATATCACAAGTTTGTGTCACCAATAAAGAAGGCCTGAGTGGTGATGGAGGTGATTCTTAGTCTTGTCTATTAATTGATGCTTATCACGGACCGGAGGGAACGCGAATGTTTGATAACCATATGATACTTTCGTTTTCCGTTAGTTTCCTTAGTTTTTGTTTTTGATTTTATGTTTCCCTATCCTCCTGCATTCAACCTGTTTGCCCTCAGAAGGCAGACTTGTGGAGATACAAATTACTTTTACCTAAGGTTTTCGTTATTTTGGTTTCCATGTTTGAGTTTGGCAAGCAGATCAGTCGTAAGAAGTTTATGCATGGAGAAGGATGACAAGGACGAGCAACTCTAATGTTTGATAATAGAGACTCCCCTTCGCCATCATTTTCCTTAGCTTTGATTGTTATTTCATACTTTTGATCCTTTTTTTTTTTTTTTTTGCATCGCCTGCTTCCCTTTAGGCAGACTATATGAAACCACAAATCACCTTTTACCCGAGGCTTTCAGGTTTTTAGTTTTCAAACAAACAGATACATTAATTGCCTTTCCCATTCTTAACCAATAATTAAATAATTTTGAACTAGCCAAATCCATGATATTTTGAAATCATGCAACTTTTTTAAAGCAGAAAACTCATCAAACGATTTTATTTTAATTTTTTTGTTTGCACATCACCAATTCGTTTCTTTCTTTAATAAAGAGTGAATTTTGTACTATAATATTCACGAAATTCCTTATTAAGGAAATAATAGGTAATCCAAATACAATTACTTACCTAATTATGAATGGTAGTGATGCAAGATAGAGAGATACCAACTATGCTAAAACTCTAACAAACAAGCAACACATAAATAGCCTTAGGCACCTAAGCTATAAGTTAGTCTAGAATAGACTCTAAATAGACCTCAAACAACACTCAATCAAAGGTCCAACTTATAATCAACAAGAACCTCAAACACAAACACAAACTCATAAATCCATAATCATCAAACCACAAAACTCACTAAATTCGAATATTGAGGACACCACAAAAAAAGAAAAAGAAAAAATGACGAGTTAGTGATGGATTTTTCCATTGCTAATTAGCCAAAATCCATTGTTAAAATCGCTTAGTGATGGCATAGGGATAGAAATTATGTACGCCATTGAAATGCTAGTCGCTAATGTTAGCAACGACAATAAGCAATTCATTGCTAATATAGCAACGAAATTTCCATTGCCAAACGGATAACGTACGTCTCTAAATCAATCACCGCAAACTATCATATTAAACGTTGCTATTCCATCGCTGAATGTTGAACAAATACATCGCAAGTCCGTCGCCATCGGCATGGAAATTTGTCGCTAGTGCCGTCATTATTCAATTGCTAATTGTATCTAAAAAAAACTTTTTATGTTTTTTTTTTTAAATTAATGATATTCCTAGTAGTAATTAACAATTAGAAGAAACAAATATTAATAAAATTTCAATATTATGAATTAAATATAAATTAATATTAAAAAAAAAGATTTGGTAGTACATATGAAAGAATAGAAAACAAATTAAAAAAATGAATTATCGATCCCGATTGTCTTCCCGATCGTCTAATCCCCTATCCTCCTCGTGGGACTCGGTGGGAGGCTTGGTGGGAGGCTCGATGGGAGGAACGACGAGAATCTTTATTAGTGGATAAATCTATAAGCAACTCGGACATTTGTGCCGGCGTAATCAACATGAAGGCCATCATTTCGTGCCGAGAATTAAGCCGGTGTATGGTACTCGTTACTCTATGACAAGGTTTTACGACTTGTGTTGTTTGATCGGCGGGCATTTCATCGCCTCCATCTCCTTGTATCGCCTCCGAACCTCCTTAATAGAAATATTATCGATATAATATGATGACATAGAGGGGAGATGCTCCCACTGATCGGGATAGATAATGCGCTACTTGTGTGCATATATCATATACCCTCTTCTTTTTCTCTCAAATAGCCTCGAGGTATATGGCGTTCTAATCAACCTTTAACTCCAAGATTCCTTTTACTCGCTACATCGTAACGACTTCTTGTATGAGCTTCTCAACATGCTTTTATGTAATTGAAATAATGATATTGTTAAAATATTAAAAAAAGTTAGATTATATTTGCATATATAAAATTTAAAATTGAAAAACACTTACCATTGTTTTCACGTGAGCACGGATCGATGAAAGAATCATCTTGCCACTTGTGAGTTGCTCGAAATAGCTTAAAACTCATTGGCTCACGACCCAATCTTGTGTCCTAAAAGAAATGAATCACAAACAATATGAGATGAAAATTTAAATTTTATAAAACATGTAATTAGCAATAAAAAATATGCAATGTACCAAATGACAAGCGTGCTCTTTCAAAGAGATTGAGCCTTATATATGCCTAGAAGGACCCACATCAAGATCACTTGTCTCCGATAATTAGTTCTATGGTGCTTGCTCCGAATGAGCCTTGCGATCAAATTTTGCAAAATCTTGTTTCCATGTGTTTCGGACCTCCTATCTAATAAAAATAGGTCGTTCAACCAGACAAACCGCACTTGTAGATGAAGTCCGCGTAGTGCTTTCTTGGTAGAGCCTCCCATACTTCTCTAACGAGCACTTTGATGGCCGAATCACAATCAAATTGTTTTTACACAAAAAAATAAATAAATTAATATTAACAACTTCATTCAATGATAAATTTTTATTTTAATTATTAAAAAAATTAATAATATGTTATCCTAAATTTGTTGAAGTAGAATTGTTTAGTAGGTCCGAGACATACTTCCACGTTGATCCATCGATGTCCAACCATTTATTGAAAGTTATGGTTATTTTTGTGGCATAATCTCTACTAGGTAGACTAAAACTATTGAAACATTAAGAGAGAAAAAAATATAAAAATATAAAAAATTATTGAAATGATATATTAAAATAAAAAAATGATTACATCGAATTTAACTAATTACATCTCATCCTCGAGCGACGGAAATATGTCTTTGATCGGAGGAGCTGCGGGAACTATCCGGAATGCCATATGTATCGGTGGACGGGGCACTCTTTGAGGTCGGTGTTGGAACCTCTAGTGTCGTTGTGAGAACCTTCAATGTAGGTGCGAGAATCTCTAGTACTCGTGCGGGAACCTATCCGGAAGGTGTATCCTATATGGCTAAAGGCGATGTAGATGTGCTACCTCCATGGTTGTGATAGACGTAGGACTCACATAAAATCCCTATAGTCGGAGATCCTCGATCAATGCTAGTTAAGGATCCTAGTGAGCTAACATCAAATGGTGATGCTCACGACTACCGAACATGATCCCATAGTGATTGTGAGAAGTCGACCCAAAGCATGAGTTATTACTGAAATATGTAAGCTTAAACAAATAAGCAAAATATAAAAAACATACTTATCGATATGAGTCATTACCTAATAAACAACTTGTTTTAAATATAACACAATCAAAATACATAACTAAAATTTTGAAGATGTATGAAAGTCGATATTATTTATTGTATTTAACAAATAAAGAAACAAAAAATACATCATTTATTACAAATACAATATATATATATATATATATATATATATTTAATTAGAACTATTGTAATCACTATTTAAGTTATCATCTCCGTCATCCAATACATTTTCACTCTCGTTCTTGTTGTCTTCGTCGATTACAACTACTTCTATATCTATAAACGATCCATTTGGATCATTCAACAATATAACATTCTTGACTTCTTCTATCAATTCATATCGGATTTCTAGATCATCTTACTCGAAATGGTTTAGCATTTTGTTAGACAAAATTAGATGAATCGGATAAGTCAACACACAAACATAGTTTTGATCTTATAAACGACCTATCAATCTTGATTCTCATACCTCAAGCTAGGGTACTCGGCATAATACACCCGAGTCTGTATGTGATGCTAGGATAAATGGTTTGTAATTGTTTAAAGTTCTCTACATTTAACAACCATAAGTTTGTACTGCGAGATGAACCTTTGTTTCTTGTAGTGTAGGATCGAACCAATCACATTTGATCTATACTATTTTTTTGATTGGTAATACAAGAAAATTTACTTTGAAAATTTTCATTAGTATCCCATAATAATCACTCTCGGATGTACTTGTAATTGGTTCCTTTAATGTAAATACTAGTGTTGATTGACCCTATTTTTGCGAGATCCATCAAGTGTGCGAAACCTATAATCATTAACAAAATAACTAGTGTATGATCCGACAATAAGCAATGGGCCTTATGTAAGATCTTTAAAGAACTAGGATTTCATGGAAATTTCTTATGCATTTTATGTCCGTAAATTCAATAACAAATCCTATAAAATTTAGTTACCTTTTAATTAATGCTACCAACTTGTTAAGTACAAATAAAATAATAATACTCACATATTAACTAAACTAGGAGGCAAACTCAATTTTAATTAGAGCATTGGCCTCATTCTCAAACATGAAGGGAATGTTTAGTAGCATTTCGACAAGAAATTCACTAAAGAGGATTAACAATAAACATGATTTAATGTCTCTTATGATTGCTAATATTATGATATGTAATTAAAGATGTATGATTTAGAAATTGAATTTTGACAAACTCACTCAATGTAAGGTTTTACTTCTTCATAGTTCAACAAAATATATTAATGGGCTACTTTGTGTTCGACTTGTGTCAATTTTTGTCTTGCTTATTGACCAATTGGTTGACCTTGTTGTTTGAATATGAATAGCATCCTTTCAATGTGGTTGCTTTTTTCTCTACCATACTCAACATTATGTAAAACTTTTCGATGCCTTGTAT